GGTGATGGCATGCCATGCAGGTAAGTGTTTCCAGAGGGCAGGGTTGGTGGTGGCGATCTCGGTCAGAGAGAGGAAAGGAAAAATTTCTGATCATAAAGAATTTGATCTAATAGTTTAAAAGAAACTGATAACATAACAGAGAAGGAACCAAGAATAAACTCTCTTTCTCTTTTACTCACAGAAGCAGAATTATGAGACTCTCAACCCAGTGGTTGAAAGAAACTGAAAGGGGATGCTTGGTGCCAAGGTACTTATATGGATGGGGAGGGACATATTCTAATGTGTTTATTGCTACCACAGAAGCTTTAGAATCTTCCGTTGAGGCTCCGCGCAGTCGTGAATAACCCAGGGTGTGATTCACAGAGGCCATGAAGAAGAACCAGAGATTAAGAGTTTGAATCCTCACTGTGCTTCCTGGGAGAAATGCCAGGCTGAATGACCTTGGGGAAGGGAACAGTAAACCATCTCTGAATATTCTATACCTACTATACCTAGAAAACCCTGGAAATGATTGCCATAAGTCAGAGTCAACTTGATGACACACAATTATTATTATTAAATATATATATATGGCAAAAATATGTAACACTTATTTCTACTACCATACTTTATGACTGAGACTTACCCACAAGCAAATTTAGCATTATGTAGGCAATGATGACATAAAATGAACAGAAATACATAAGAGCGCCAGCGTAGTTCCCACAATCTGTTTTCCAGTATGTGCTGTTATCTGGTGTACAAAAAGGAGGCTGAACCTTTAAAGGAAAGCAATTAATTAATTTTATAAAACCATATGATGGTGAGTTTTTTCAACTAAACCGACATATGTACATGCATCCACTTAAGACATATATCACAATGGGGACGCCACAATGGCATTAATGGGACAGCAAGAGCAGCAAGAGTTAAGAATACTGTGATGCCAAGAAAAGAATTAAGGGCTAAAACTGATTGCGTAGAAAGAGTGGGGTACTGATGAGAGGTGCAGATTTCCTTTCCTCTCTGCCCACTATTTACCTTCCATCCCAATCTAGCTAATTATACTTCTGAGTAAGAAGCATAACTCTGCTGAGGAAAAAAACCACATGGGGGGGAGGGGGAATCCATCATGGAAGAGTTTGCTAGTGGAATTTGCTTCTGTTTCCCATTTCCACCATGAGATGCACATTTTCCCTCTGTGTGTGAGAGAGTCTCTCTCTCTCTATATGGAGATTATATGACCTGGCAAAAGATGGATAGACAGATGAGCCCTGCTGCCTAGATTAGTACAGTATCCTGTTTCCAACAAAGGCTACAGTTGCATGCACACACAGCACCTCCGCTATATACTATACTCTGCTTGTGTATTTGTGCATGTATTTGCAAAAGTTACTCTTCTGGAGTACATGTGGACTACAGGATTCTGGGAGTTGTAGAGAAAAAAGTTATTTAATTAATAACTTTTAAACTACTTCACTGATCAGGATGTTTCTTTGTTTTGTCCTCAGCTAGGTAATATCACTGTCCAATTATTCTTAGAAATGAGAACTCTAATAACTGAGAAGTAAATTACAGCTCAATGATAGAGAACTATGACAGCATTTTCATTTCTCTTCCAAACAAAAAAAATTTAAACACTGCTGCTCCCCCCCCCACAAAGACACCACCATGGCCTATGGGGAGAAGGACAAACTGCACTTAAAGAGCAGAATGCCTTGATACCTAATGCGTACAGAATAGTGTGTTTATAATTCAATTCTAAGATAAAGTGGTCCAAGAGAAAAACAACACACCCTCTGTGCACACACACACTGGGACTGCATCAGAAAAATAAGAACAGAGAAAGGATGATGTAGTACCTTTGTATCTGATTTTCGCCTAAGGATATATTCCAAAATATCTCCTGTATGGAGAATAAGTGCAGGGAAATAGCCCCAGAAGGGACCACAGCTGCAATACAAGGATATCTGCAAGTGGGACCTGAAGGTCTTAGGAATGGACCTCAACAGATGGCTAACCCTGACATTTGAGCATTCAGCCTGGAGGCAGGTGGTGCATCACAGCCTCTCCCAATTTAAAGAGATCCTTGTACAACAGGCCAAGGCAAAGAGGCAGTCACAAAAGCAGCAGAATCAAGGAGCTGGACAGGGGACAGATTGTATTTGTCTTCAGTGTAGAAGGGATTGTCACTCTCAAACTGGCCTTCTCAACCACACTACACACTGTTGCAAGTCCTCCATACAGAGCCCGTTACCATAGCCTCTCGAGACTGAAGGACACCTAATCTTAATCAATATTCCAGAAGACATAATGTTGTCTCCATCTCATGCTCTCTCTCTCTCTCTCTCTCTCTCTCTCTCTCTGTGAAGAAATTATTATGATTCACAGCTTATTTAAATTGGCAAAATACAGGCACATTTGCTGACATATTTCTCTGAGCTTAACTTCTTAAGCCTTCATTCCTGTAACACAAAGGTGGGCAACTTGTGGCTTTCCAGATGTGGAACTCCCATGATCTCTCACCACTAGCTATGCCATGCTTCGGATTGATTGGAGGTTTAGGCCAGCAAAACCTGGAGGGACATAAGTTGCCCATCCCTGCTATAATAGAAAGAACAAGGAAGATTTGCATGAAGGATGGCAGTAATTCCCCCCCACCCCCCGGTTAATTTGTTAAAAGCACAGGATGGTTAAGGCATATGTAAGATGTCAAATGTTGAGTAACCTCAGTGTTTATCTCTGTTTTATAATTGTATTCAATTTACCATGCAGTCATGCATGATCTTGTTCCAGTCTTCTCCAGTGACTATTCTGAAGAGTACAGTAATGGCTTTACCAGCTGAGGAAAAATTGGCATGCCTGTTTTAAAATAAATACACACATTAAAAAAATGAGTTCACAAGGACAAATTAGGACAAAAGCAATGAAAACTCTTCCTTCTCCCCATGAGCCCCAACTACTCTGACCAGTTCTAGCTCCTGACCAACTCTAACTAATAGTATGCTGACTATTGTGAGAGAGGAAAGATTATGCCTTTTGTGAAGTGATCTATCTGTTTCTCTCCCTGGCCTGCAAGTCATTTCTATCAAACAGTGTGAGGTACATATACTGCTACATATTTTGCGATCATATTTCAACAGTAGTAAAATGTGTATTTTGTCTGTCCTCAACTATAATGCACTAATATAGATTCTGATGCTTGCCACAGGAACATGGTTCCAACATCATGAATTTCTTGCCACTCCAGTTTCCTGAGGATCTCAATAATGCAAGGGATAATCTATCTTTAAAACAATAATACCACAGATTCATTAATTTCTAGTGGAGTTTTATTTTTTAAAAAGTTGTACCTATTAATGTTCTCCCCGTATTTCACAGTGCCGAACAGAACCACTCCAGCAAAAGCATAGCAAAGCAACAGCAGGAACATTCCTACTATGATGAAAAAGCTCTTATACATGCTGACAACCACTGTCAGCAGCAGCATCTTCAGGGTCACCTGGAAAGATAAAAGAAAGGGAATGGAGAATAGAGTTTGATATAACAGACGTGGGCAAAATAGCCATGTAACTGAGAAGGGATGTGAAGCCAGCAGATTGTCCAAGAAGTCCCAGTAATACAGTGGTGCCTCGCTTGACTACGATAATCCGTTCCGTTCAAATCGCTGTTAAGCAAAATTGTCATCAAGCGAAATTAAAAAACCCATTGAAACACATTGAAAAGTGTTCCAATGGGCGAAATACCTCATCGTGCAGCAAAGATCCTCCATAGGGCGGCCATTTTCTGGTGCCTGTATAGCGAGGAATCCGTCCTAAAAACAGCAGGGAGCCATTTTGCACAGTGGGTGGCCATTTTGCAACCCGCCGATCAGCTGTTTGGAAATCACCATAATGCGAAGAATTGGTTCCTGAAGCAGGGAACCGATCATCATGAAGTGAATTTTCCCCATAGGAACATTGTTTTGCGATCGCAAAAAACCCATCGTAAAGCAGATTCGTCGTTTAATGAGGTAATCGTTAACCGAGGCACCACTGTATGTGATGTTCAGTACTCTATGGGTTCTGTGCCTATGCTGAGTATCTCTAGAGCCAGGCTACTATTTTGGCGAGCTTTCTACCTTCACTCTCTGTGCATACTCTCCATTCTTCCTGCTTAGCTCCATAGCTATTGTGTGCAAGTGACAGCAGGAGTACTAGCACAAACAGCTGGGAAGGAGAGCAACTTACATGATTGCACCACTTAAAGTGCCACAGTTATAAGTAAGCAACCTGCTCTCTTTCTTTATAAGTTCTGTGTAGTCATATACATGGGAGAGTAGCAAGTTAAGTTATCAGAGCACAGTCTATGAAACCAAGTCCATCAACACAGTTCTCAGGAAGTGTCCCCCTTGGCCTAAACACAGAAACTGTAGTGCTGGATGACTGCAGAAAGCTGTAATCAGAGAGCAATGTGACAAAATTTAATCACAAGCATTCCCTTGAGGAAGTCATGGTGTGAGTGTGTACCAACTCTTCTAGCTAATTGACATTTGGCCTGTTTGTCATATACGTGTATGACAGATGATTTCAAGACAGCAAACCATATCTGCCTTAAACTCTGAAAGCAGACTCTGGGTGAGGCTATATAGTGGGGAAAATGTGAATGGATCCACTGTGAGGTACTACCTAAGTCAGATTTTCCAAGGTTAATTCACTTCAGCTGACCATATAGGGGTCAGCAGAGAGAGAAAGAGAAGGAAATTGCCAGCCTGTGCTTATTAGCACTTGTTAAGACACCTCTGCTGCAGCTGTTCAGATTTGCAGGAGGCATGACTACAGCAGAACTACCTTAACAAGCAGCAAACAAGGCCTTGCTGCCAATTTCCCCTCTCTTTGTTTATTCTCTTTACCCGCCCTTGCCCCCGTCTCTTAGGTGCTCTAGTGCAGTGGTTCTTAACCTTTGTTACTCGGATGTTTTTGAACTCCCAGAAACTCCAGCCAGCACAGTTGGTGGTGAAGGCTTCTGGGAGTTGCAGTCCAAAATTCCTGGGTAACCCAAGGTTAAGAACCAGTGCTCTAGTGCATCAATGCTGGTACCAAACCTTATTTTAAAAATCTAATTGGAAACAAGGGAGCTTGGTTGAGGGGAACTGACACCCTGTAAGTGCCTGTTTGCTTCCTCTCTCCCCACCTTGAACTTGGAAGCTGAGAGAGGCAGCTTCTAGTCAATCACTGCATCAGCACAAGCAATCATACCACCATGAAAACATTCGATTTTTTAAAAAAAGTCAACAGAAAATAATGCAAATCTAACCATCCCAATCCTGCAGAATTTGCTGCATTATTTGTCAACTTAGTTGTCCCCTTACAAATACAGACTTTTCTTCACAGTCAGGAACAGCTAGTAGAGTGTTCCCCAGCAGACATCTTAGGTATGTAGAGATGCATCCATGTGAGAGTTTGATATGTGAGATTTTGAGTCAGAAGACCAATAAACTAGCTCTTGGTTAAGGCGAAAGGCAGAAATTCTGAACTGATAACACCATTCTTTCAAAATGAAGCAGTGAAAAATAGCCGTGCTGTGACAAGAGGATGATAAGGATGTAGGCATCCAACTGGATCCAATCCAGCCTCTGTAATGAAGAAACATCAGGATGTTGTCAAGGATCACCATGTGAACATTCCTGGGCCTAATTAAGGTCTTAATATTCCTGAAGTTATATAAAGATCTTGCCTTTCTTGAGGACAATAAGATGCTTTCAAGTAAGAATCCTGGAGTAATGGGACTTCCGCTATCT